TAGGTAACATCATCAGTGCTAGCGATTGTGGGTTTTGCTTCCTTTTATATACAGTAGCTTGCCCTGCCAGTTTTGGTGGGTGTGTGGTTTTTCTCCTTGATAGTTCCTTGATTAGGGTATTGTTTTCTGCTTGATTGTCTGGTGTTAACCCCTGCTTATCAGGATGTAGGCTGCTGGAAATGATGTGTTCTGGTCTTTTAAAGACAATCCTTGAGACTGGTGCATTGCTTTCTTCAGTATCCCAACTTTGCATTTGTTATTAAATTCAAAGAAAATTTAAAACAAAGTGAAATGGGGCAAGAAGGAATAACCATCAAGGAATATTGATTCCCACAAGCACTATACTGTCTATCTCAGGATAAGGGTTTTATCAGAGTCCTGTATGAGTTGACTGGAATTTGGATTGATGATGATTGTATGCCATCAAGACTTTCTTCATGATGATCTGTCCCTAATCTGGCCCTTCAGTTCTTCCAATGGTGCATTCATTGATACTATAACCAATCAATGCTGTATCCACCTTGCTGCTGGTTGCCCTCTTCTTTTCCTTCTACCTTTCCAGTATTAGAGCCTCCAGTATTAGAGCCTTCTCCAGAGAGCTAGCTCTTCACATAATGTGTCCAAATTAGGATAATTTGAGCCTGGTTATTTATGCCTCCAGTGAGAACTCTGGGTTGATTTGTTTGATGATCCATTTGTTTGTTTTCTTGGCTGCCCATGGTATTCCCAGGAGTCTTCTCCAGCACCAAAGTTCAAAAGCATTAATACTCTATTCTATTTTGCTTCTTCAAAGTCTGACCTTCACTTCTGTAGAATCACAGGGAATACCAAGTGCTCTAGTAGACAAATCAGAATATTTCTAAGATTGAATTTAAGAATCTAGTCAGGTTTATAAATCAGAAGGAGGAAGAAAAGCTAAATGGCCAGGAGCTAAAAGCTAGGAAGCCCTCACTTGGAAGAGACTCTACATAAATCATGTTCTTTTAGCCATTATACCATCTATAGTGTGAAAATAATGACTAAAATGTTTAAGTAAGATGTGAATAAATTATTTTGTATGTATATATTTAAACAAATAGAGGAAGAGCTAACCAGTTGAATTATCTGATTTTCTCATACACTGTGCTAGCAATTACATTTCTCTTCTCTTGACCAGTGACAAACCTACAGGATAGTGTTACTAACATTAGATGACACCAAATTGGGTGGCATTTGGAAACACTCTCTAATCAACATTACACTCAGTATATATGCTTGCATTTATGTTATGACCTGTGGTTACAACAATAAACTTATTCACTTACTTACTATATATGTCTGCAGCCTTTTATCATGGGAATGAATTGATGGAGGGGCTGCTTCCCTATATACTAATAAGGAATGTCTGTGTAAATGCAACATAAGGCTATATTATGTGCAGAAGCATTTCAGAATATTCATTATGCATGTGAAAATTTTAGAACTGATGTTTGCACAATGTACAAAAAAAGAAAAAGGCCTTATTTCTTTTATTTTCCCTTTAAAAAGCCCTCATAACATTCTGAATGAAGCTATCCATACTGTGGCTGAGTTAAAAATGGTTCTCTTATGCTGTACTTAGAATGTAAGAGACACTGAAGTGGTTCACAGAACACAGTAAACCACATTATGGTTTGTTTACTGTGAGCTTAGCATACTATGTGAACCCAGGCATTGTGATCTGTAAGCCATGGTTTAGTTTGATGTATAAAAACAACCACTGTGGTTTAGTCAAAGCTATGGAATCAACACAGAAAAAAAATCACCAGTATTCTACCAACTATTGCATGATAGTTCTTCCAAAGCCAATTTCAGTGCTTTGCTTAGCTTCATCAAGTTCCAAGGCAGAGAGAGGTTCTGGATTGAGTCCCTCATTCAGTTAAGATTTCATTAACCTTTTGCAAATGATGTGAGCAGTCTTTATAAAACTAACTCAAGAAAAAAAGAAAAATCAAGAGCACTACATGTAGATTGCCAATGGGATTGTACTAGAATTCTTCAGGATTTTTTTCACACATGCAAATATTGATGTAATATTTTCCCCTGAAACTTATAGATTATGTTGTGCATTACATACTGCACCAAGGGACAGTCAGTTGCTCTACACTCCTTGCATCTCTGTCCCCAGTTTCTAATGAAAAATATACAACAGTTCCCCAGAAAAATACATATAATTTCTCTATTACTACATGGGCACTCTGCTGAATAAGAGGGGGAAAAACCTCAAGTCAAATAAAAAATGAATTAGAATACAGCACATGCAAGTCAAATAAAAAGTGAATTAGAATACAGCATGCAAAACCCTTTGCTGGTTTTGCAACTTTATGCATTTTATGAGTTTAGCAAGCTCTTGCATAAACATTGCTTGTTTGTGAACTGGCATTTTATATCAGCTCACATTTCGGCCACTGTTTGATAGGCTAGGACCTACCTTTGAACCTAACCTGGCTGCTTCAAGACTGCTATCATTTTTATGAAAGCAGATGGAACAATGATAGCAAAGAGATATCATATATAAGAATCATTTATGAAATTAGTAAACTTTAAACCTTGGTGTTGTGCTAGGTAGGACAAACTGTTATTCCCTCTTCTATTTCTGCAGTTGAAAGAAGGTAAGCCAAGCAATTAACTTTCGTCCATTCAAAATTGTTAAAATTGTTATATCTGTTTAATGGCTATTAATAGATAGATAGATAGATAGATAGATAGATAGACAGACAGACAGACAGACAGACAGACAGACAGACAGACAGATAGATAGATAGATAGATAGATAATCATACAAGGTTTTTTTGTGTGTTTGTGCCTTTGAGTCAGTTTTGATTCCCGGTGACTGCCTGGACTAGTCTCTGCAGTTTTCTTGGCAAAGTTTTTCAGAAATGTCTAGTACATAATTTATTACTGATCTAGATTTAAATTTATTTTTCTTTATAATCTATTAAGAAGAATTCAAGAGAGTCTCTAATGAAAAAATTTGCTTACCCATATCAGCAGTTGTAAATAGTTGTAGATAGCATTGAAAGAACAAATGTGTTCAAAGGATTTGCATATATGGGAAAGGATAAGTCCAAGAAGTATCTTAAGAAACCTTAACTCTACACTTGATTTTAATATGAGCACTGCAGCTACAATCCAATACGTATCTATCTATCTATGATGCCATATAGTAGGATTATGAAGCTTCTGGTATTCTGGCTGTAGGTGAAGTAGATTTCTCAGCATCTCTTGCCATTGGTCTCACCATTGACTGGGCTGCTAGAAAGTTTAGCAGTTACATTCTGAAGGATCAAGGCCTTATGCATGTTAGTATCTACAGCTACGGTATCAGGGTGGCAAAAAGCTAAATGATTACTAGATGGCAACAAACAGAGTTTTCTATAGCATGATGCCATACAGTGGTCACCTGGATTTTGGTGCCCAGCTAGGGTAACCCTGATCCTGACCATGACAAGTATCTGACTTATTTACATAAGAACATGAATGACTACTGTCAGGCAAAAAATAGCTAGAGGTAAGAATAATCAGAAAAGAGCAGTTATCTTGAAATGAACATAGTTTTGTTGTTTGATCAGTCCTAACTGTAGGAGTCAGACACATCAGTTTATAAGAAAAGGCTTTGACAAAGTGGCAGTGCAAATAATCTTATAGCTGAAGGTTGTCATCATTACCTTCTCTCCTCCTTATGTTACTACTGAGTAAATGATCATGCACCTTTGCAAAGCCTATTTTAGGCCTTATATTACATTTACAGTGGTCAAAGCTATTTCAGGTTTTATACTACAGATTTCACGTTTCTTATATTCAAGTGGCATAAAACTAGGTCACTGCTTTCAGCAATCAGCAACTGAGGTCTTCACAGAAGGAAACCAAAAGTGGCTTTTTAATAGAAAGAAAAAAAACCTCATACACCCCAAAGCGGCTTTTCTGGGTTGTGAAGTGTAGTTTTATTTCTTAGTTGGCATGAACGTGTTGCTGTCAAAAGTAATGCATTATGTCCATAATTGTGATTCCCAATCTTTGTAGGAAACAGATTTGTGCCTTTAACCAAACTGTAGCTGGAAAAACTGTTCAGAATAGTTCTCCATTCAGGATACTTTTCCTTCTTATTGTGAAGACTACATGAAAAAAAATGGGATAAAAGTTTAAAGTTGTAAAGGGGAAAGTCTGACCTATGAGCAATTCAGTTCATTTTCTGACACTTTTTACCTAAATGTGAGTACTAGAATTCTTCACTTTCTTCCTCATTACAGAGAACAGCACACAGTTTAATATTATATATTTGCAGAAGTCAGCCCTACAAAAATATTGCTCATCAAATGTGTAAATAAAGTAACATAACCTTGAGAACAATTAGTCACTTCCTGGTAGAAAAGTCTGCCTTTTACTACAGCTGCTTTCAACATTTCCTGAATGTAACTATTATTTAAGGATTGTGAGATACAGTCTGCAGTAGGCTTGTAATGAATGGTGTCTGTTTGGTAAGTGGAATTTATATACTCTTGAATGTCAGTATAGGTAAGATTATTTCTTTTTCTCAAAGATGTATGCATGAAGTGACATTTCTGGAGGATTATGGAAATTCAGAGATGGCTAGTTTATAATTGTACATTTCTAGTAACTTTTGTGGGAATATAATTTGAAACTGTTGCTGTTATTATTTGTATCCCAGCTTTCTTTAATTTGGGCTATATTTATATATTAAGTATGGTTTATTTTAACCATAACATGTTCAAGCTATAATTACTTAGTTTATATCCAAAGCTAAATCATACAGTATGTTTAATGGACTGCAAGGGTTAACTCATCACACTAACTCCACCACAAATTCTGTGAAAGCTTAATGCAGTTTGTGAACTCAAGACAGTATCTGATTGGATGAATTACCAAGTTCTCACTTCATGCTAAGCATTTTGGTTTTGACTTTAATTTGACTCTTCAGGGTATACCTGCATGAAGTCTTGAATGCAGGTGGGGGGAAACTCTGCAAACTACAAAAGAAGAGGGGGTCTATTCATGTTAAAGCTACACTTTGATAGTCTGCACTGTTTGTTTGTCTAGTCTCTGGGAGAAAATCACATATTCTGTGATTGTTAGCTTCTGCTGCTTTTAATGATTATTACTCAGTAGGTAGTATGGCTCATTAATGCTTTAATGCTTCCTTAGTTCCAGCTTGAGGAAGGAAGGTAATTCAGACAAGGTGGATAATTGCACAACTTCACATAGTTATTTGGTTTAGTATGAATGATCTTTAGTTTGGAGGCTGTCTGGGATTCATTGCTTGAAGTAGATTAAGTCGCTTAGTTTGTGTTTCCATATTGGGCTAAAGCCATGATGTAGTGATTTAGTTTGGGTTTAACACTGAATCCAATAATTGTGCTTTCAATAACCCATGATTTAGCATTCTGCATAACCAAAAGTGATGGTGGATAATTCTCAGGGCTTGGGAAAGTGCTAGCCTTTCTAGCTCTTGATGAAATAGCATTCCACCTAAAATAGCATATACACAGGTTGCAAGTACTTCTAAATCCATTCTGCTCAAAAGTGGCTTGTTTGGCTTTATGACATGATAATTAAATTACTTTCCTTTCTTAAGATGGCAGTGTATTTAGGGTTGCTACATATAGAAAGTTGTGGCTAACATGGACAGTTTTTGCATTCTGTTATATATGATATTAGCTCCTGTTGAACATTTGCATATTTTCTTTTTAAATGGTTTGGGGCCCAAAGGACTGAAAGATGATTCCTCCCCTCCCACAGGAACTTATTCATACAGGTACTGTGCATGTCAACAAAGGGAATCACAGCTTGTCTATGGAATGTCCTTTCTATATAGCTTTAGTTTTAAGTTAACTATATCCAGGTGTTTTAACTCGTGTGTTTTAAAGTTAAGGGTGTCGACCCTTTTATCTGGTGATTTTAATGGAGGGATATCCCCTAGAATTCTAAACATTTTGAAAAATTGTATAATAATTCACAAGCATTTGTAGCATACAGTACTGCTTGCACAGGGAGAGGTTTGTTTGTTTTAATTCTCATCTGTCTGCTACTAAGTTTCAAAGGTGGCTTACGATATATACTGCATAGTATATTGATTTTAATAAGGCAGTATGACAGAAAGATAATGTGCCATTTAAGGGCACAACATGTGAAACCAGAAACAAGCTAAGCACATTATGGTTTAATCCACCGGGTGAACACAGCCAAAGTCTATGTGCCTGAGTCCCTTCAGCTGAACATCTGCGTAATCTGCAGCTCTTACTTCTTCCCAATTACAGTGAAGGCCCAAAGCTGAATGAAAAATTAGAGAAGATAGCTGGATCTAAGGAATAACAAGCATTTGTAGAAGGACCTATTATATACTCTAATGTAAATTACAAACTCTAATTTTTCTAGGGGGTTCTTGTTGCAGTAAAATTTGCTAAATTACTTTGAGCAGCAATAGTTAGCTTCCTATGACTTTTCTGCTTCCAGCCACTCTGAAGCACTCTTACTCAGTATTCTTAATACATATGGAGACACTGTTCCCATGTTCCACCTTCACATCAATGAGATTAGAGCATCATATGTTAAGTATGGCTAATTTCTAATTGATTTTCAAATTTAATGGAGCTCAAAGTAGTTCATTTGGCAACAAATAGCAGGTTTCAAGATCACAAATAGTTTTAATAAGAATTGTTTTTCTTAAGAGGGGAAAAAAAAACCCTTTGAGATGAGTCTGAGTTAATTATAAAGAATTATTCTGCACGTTAAGACTTAAATGATAAGAGTAGTTGTAAATTCACAACACCATGAACCTTAGAATTGCTCTTGCTATAGTTATCTTTCTATTTACTGATAAATGGGTCAGAAGGGCTTCTTGTACTAATGGGGCGTGAGCATTTTTCAAACGTGCTAGCAAGTCAGTAATGCATCTGCTAAAGGACAAAAGCCACAGTTTGCAGAATCTTATGCAATAACTGAACTTCTTCCTTATCACTTGAAACTGTTTAAACTTCGTACATTTCTTGGCATGTAAGTGATGAATGATCTTGAAAATGTTAAATGACGATCATTTAAGTCTTAGCAATTCCAAAGTGGCAATCTGATCTGCTTTTCAATTAGAGGATATTATACAAGTGGATCAGACTAATCCACTTACAATGTATGACTAGTCTTACAAAAAGTGTTTAACTGATACTACATAGGCAGCTTGCATACAGCAGCATAAGAAACGTATGCCTCAATTTTTTTCTACCCAGATGCAAAACTTTAGTTTTCTTTCAATTAATTCCATCCTATTAATTTTAGCCTACTGTTCACCCTGTCTGGATCTTTTTGAATCTTTTCTATTTAATCTAAATTATCAGCCCCCAACTTACCTTTGTGTCATTTGCAAACTTTAACCTTTACTTCCTCACTCAAGTCACTGATAAAAATGGTCAATAGTTTCAGGCCCATTCACTGTTTTCCTCCACATGGATGTGAAAACATTAATGAATGCTCTTTGAATGTTGTAATTCAGTCAACTGTGAGTCAAACTAATAGCATCTTCTAGCCCATATTTTATTCTTTCATAAAGGAGAATGTCATCAGGCACCCTGCTGAAGGTTTTGCTGAGACCTAGCACACTATAAAGGCAGCATTCCCCTGATTAAGCTAAATAAAGTTACTAGTTTAGTAAATCAGGTATAATGCGGACTCCTGTTAATTCTAGCATGTCTATCCAAGTGCTCATAAGCATGCTTTTTGTCCAGTACAGACATTAAGTTGCCAGGTCTGTAATGCATGGCCCTCCTTAATACCAAACTAGCAGTTAAGAAGTTCTGTCTTTTCATCCTCACTCATTCACCATCTACTCCTTGCAATGGATCTATGGCCTCTTTGGTTTTCCTTTAATTTCTAATCATAGCCAAAGAATTATTTTACTTCTAACCATGTCCAATAACTCCTTTTTGTTATTCTGGTACCTTTCACAAGGCTTAGCTCATTTTGAGTTACCATTTCTGACACAGTTCCTACAGTTTGTAGAGACTACTTGATATTCTTCAAGTATACTCCCCTCCTTCCATTTCTTGAACATCCCCCCTTTTCCCTTCAGTATTTTAGAGAGCTGGCCTCTTCACACTGGCCTCTTAAGATTTCTCTCATTTTTTTCTTATTGTGATTGTTTACAATCGCATCTACAATATTTCATTTTGTAGAGTTTTCCATTCTTTCCAGCTAATTTTCTCTATAAATATTTGACATTGTTCAGTCGGGGTTGTTTTCCCTTGAAGTTCACCAAAACCTACTTTTCTGAAGTCCAATATGAAGGACTGACTCTTCTTAGTTCCTTTGCCTCTGGATATCACAACTTGAAGTATAATAAAATAACTTTCTCCAAAATGCCAATCACCTTCACTCCTTCAACCATTTTTCTCTGTTACAACAGAAACCCCCCTTGTTCATCCTTCTATTGACTCCTAAATAAAGGTGTCAGCAAGAAAGCATATGTTGGAATTTTGACTGAAGTTAGATTCTTAGCAGAAGGTGAATAACTGAAATCCCCTTTGAAAGACTGGTCAGCTGATGCAGAAAGACCTCATCTATCTTCCGCATGCCTAGATGCTATTTAACAAACTCCCACAATAGCACTTCTGTTTGTTTCTACTTTTGTTCTTACCCTCATATGAAGGAAAGTAAGATGGCTTTCCAGGGATTTGTATGGAAGTCCCCCCTCCCCCACTCCATTTGATTTTTAAATTGAAGATGGTGGGTTTTGAATTAGTCAGATCATACACTCCACTAAAGAACATGTGAAGTTTTATAGTTCTAGTGAATATCCACTTCAGACCTCTCTCACAAGAATGATACATCTTATTACATAAGATATATGGAAGAATGGACTACATCCCACAATATCAAGTGTTATCTTGAAGGTTATGTGTATGCATACACTTGCCCATGGTAGGGATGTAATACTAGGATCAAAAGAAAATGGTGTGTTTCCAATGATAACTAACTGATTATCAGCATCTATTCACTAACAAGTGAAAACACACGGAGATATGCCTTATCAAATTAGTGAAGTTAGAAGTTGGTGGGTTGTTTTTTTCCTTGAATGCAACTGAGATTATCTTGAATGGGGGAAAGAGACCCAATGCCTTTCTCTATTGCTTCCACTGTTAAAGATTTCTGTAATTTGGATTTCCACTATCATTGCAAGCTGTGTCATGCTATTAAATGGAAAGCCAACTTGTCCAGGCCAGCAGAGAAAGCTAATTATTATTCCATCTACCTCAAGAGAGAAAACTTCTTGTATAATTAATTTTAACAAGCTTTACTGCTAGGATATGAAAAAACATTAGATATTATTTAATCACTGCTAAAAGGCCTAACTGGTTTTATTTTGCTTGAACTTTCTGTTTTGTTTCTGTTTCTGCCAGCTATTTCCAAAGACTCAGAGCTATATTGATATCTAGCTGGGTTTTTTTGTTTTTAGATTTTTTTTATCCCACCTTTATTTTTATAAATAACTCAAGGTGGTGAACATACCTAATACTCCTTCCTCCTCCTATTTTCCCCATAACAAAAACCTATATTGATATCTAGCTGGGTTTTTTTGTTTTTAGATTTTTTTTATCCCACCTTTATTTTTATAAATAACTCAAGGTGGTGAACATACCTAATACTCCTTCCTCCTCCTATTTTCCCCATAACAAAAACCTTGTAAAGTGAGTTGGGCTGAGAGAGAGTAACTGGCCCAAACTCCCAGCTGGCATTTATGTCAAGTTCTTCATTCATGTTTATTCATAGTAAAATTGTTCCACTTCAGGAATGGGGGGATTGTCCCCATGAAAAAATATGCTTGCAGCCTTTTATCCTCAATTTTGTAGCATGAATTACCCACTTCTATTAATAAAGCAGAATTGTTCTGACTCAGAATTTTAAAAACTTCAGGACTTGGGCATTGCAATTCTGAACACAGGTCTGAACACAGTCATTTACTTAAGGATAAGGCAGAATGTAGGTCAGAGGGAAATGAAATACAGAAACAACACATTTGGAGTATGAACTGCTGAGTTACAATCTATCAAGTGATTCAATTCTATTTCCTATGACTTGAACTAGGACAAAGGGCTTTTTGATTGCTAAATGTCATAATCAGTTGATCAATGCAAGAATGTTTGGGTAACCCAAAACTGTTTTTTGAATGGACATTGTTAATAGCTGATTATCACTGTGCTGTCTGCATTTATTTCTTTTGACTTCACTGTTCACAATTTCACACACATACGGATATATATATGCACATTCTAGGCCTAGAGACAATTGTGTCGGAAAAATATCATAGATATGGACTGACTGATCCTTGTCTTTGTGAATTAATTAGAGCTCATCTGGCTAATACAGCTGAGGTAGTAACAAGACTATTTTCCTAAGTCAGTTTAAGTTCTGCAAGTCTTAATAAAAGACTCAAAGTACTATAAATCCTAGCCAATGAAAATTCCTCAGTTAAGTAGATAACTAGACTTAGTCCTAAAATTCTTAGTGGAATGTTAGCCTAAAATGAGCTAATTTGAAAATTCCTGCAATAAGCTTAACCCTCATGTAAACAGGCCTCTAAGTGGGTACTAGGTATATTGCAGAATCCTGAGACGTAACTAAAAACAGAGTGTTTCAAGTTGGAAAATCAGCTGCCTGCAAGAATAAAAGTAACTTTCTAGCTTACAAGAAGTATTTTAGTTGTTTTAAAGTAAGCTATGACGATGTATGAACACCTTGACTTTTAGGATCTCTAGCTTCCCACAATTTTTTTCTCCTAGAACACAATTTTTCTTCTAGAAGTGGAAATGCAAATGTTTGTAAGTAATGGTTTCTTGTAATGTATTGATTTCTGAAATGCCATTTGCCTCCTTGGTTTTTTGCAAATTATTTTGTGTTTGATTAGTAATAATTGAGAATTTGGCATCACGAATATAAATGTTATTAATTTCTTTTGAGTCCTGAAATTTTGAAATCCTCCTTGAAAAGCTTTCATGGACTTTAAGAATGAATCTTTTGAAATACATAAATATATCAACTCTTCTTTGCTTGGCATAGAAAATGTGAGAGTGGAAGCAAGACAAATTTCTGAAGGGATGAATATCCTGCAGAAGAAACTATATGGAAAACTTTAAATACTAGCTCAGTTTATTATCTTCCCTGTTTGTATTTATCTGAATTTTTATATGCACTTTAATTTAGCTTAGAAATAGCTGTATATGTACATTTCTGAAGTAGAATGAAGGGGCGTACAGTAAGTATCAGGTCCTGTAGTTACACAGTTATCAGGAGTCATTTATTTATTTTTTAACCTGCCTTCCCCAGTAAAAGACATCAACAATATAATCTGATTCTTAGTCATTCTCTCAAAAGCTTTATTGATTTTAATGGGACAGAGGTAAGCAAATATAGGTGAAAATAGCATGTACCAATGGGCTACGTAATAGTTTCAGACTTGGCTGAGTTAACAAATTAACTCTTTGGCCTACCTGAAAATGCACAGGGACCAATTCAAATGATTATGGCTATCATTACCTCTAATTTTTTGCTCTCTGTAGCATGATGCATATTGAATACCTTCTCTGATCTTGCTATGTTAATGATGATGTACTAGTTATTTTTATTTAGGTTCAAACTCAGTAATAAGGTATATATTCTCTGATGCTTCAAAGGATGTTATTATATTCCTTTCTATATGAGTAGTGAATTTTTGTCCATTGCTTTCTGGTTCCTCTTGTTTTAGGATTCAGCTGTCTGGCAGAAATAATCCATCAGTATGATTTGGATACTTCAGCTCTTATTTTCTCCACTCCCAACTCCTGCTTTGATTGGTCTTATTACTTTTGGAACAACAGTTTTCCTATGGTTGATAACAAAACCCAAGCCAATTATATGCCCTGTTGACCTCAACAAACAATCTGTTGGCACTGAGGTAATGCAAATGCTGTGTCTGTTCATAACTGAATGTTGTGCTCTCCCCCATCCCTGCCCCGAATGTGGTATTTCCATTAAAAACAAGCAAACAAAAACCTTCAGACTTCTTCCAAGATTATGATCAGAGTGAGAGTTAGTCTGGCACTAGCTATATTTTTACAAATTGGAATAGCTTATAATATCTTAATACTTTATAAGATAAAATTGTCATGTAAATCAGCAAAACATGAATTTAGGTTGGTTATGAGGTTTGGAAATGCATTCTCTATAGAGGTACAAATTAACAGTAATGATCCCTTGATGTAGGGAGGAGCTAGAAGAAGTGCGCTTGTCCCTGAAGGAAAGCTTCTGTCTTATTACTATGAGGATGCAAAGACCTTATATGAAGGATTCAGAAGAGGACGTTATGTATCAGGTCAGTGTGGAATTAGTCCAGAGAATGTTGATACATCAAAATCAAATAATCACTGTTGTCTACATACTTTCTATCCTGGTATTAATTTGAATGGCTGGCCTTAAAACCCTAACCACATTTGAAGCAGGGAGTACTGTAGCACTTTTCAGTTGTGTGGCATTTAACAAAGCCTAATAGTAAAATGCTATTGAAAGATTCCTTGTTGCAGTGTTGGTTTGTAGTTACATAATGGAGAAGACATGGATCATGGTCTTTCTATGATAGTTAGCATTGATATAGCTCCTCTATTCTATTTAATACTCTTGAGGATGCTCTTCTAAAGTAACTAATTTGTTGGAGAATATTCTCTTCATCAAAGGGAATATTCTAGGAAACTTATTATAGTCTCCTTATTGTGGAAAAAGAACTCCTATTCTAGGAGTAAAATGAAATGCTTGATTGCTATTTCATGACTTGGGCCAAATCAAATGATGCAACAGGTCCATGATTAAATCTAAAAGACACTATGAAGCCCAGTGCAGGAGAAATACCTCAACTATGGGTGTAAAAGGCTATGAATTCAAAGGCAAAAAAAAAAAAAAAATGCTTTGGAGTGTGTGGACCAATACATGATGTACTACCCCATCTGCAACTTCCTAAACCAAATGCGTATCTTCCCAAAGAAAGATGCAGCACATTTAAGAAGTTGCAGACAGGTACTATATGAGTGTTCTTCATGCTCCAAAGCACCTTTTTTGCCTATGAATCTGAAGCACAATACAGATCTGAGGGAGGAGTAGTTAATTAAATATTTCCATGATTTAAGCTGTCCATGCATGTAGCTCAAGATGCTATTTTGACTTAAGTAGGGAGAAGAAGTGCCATAGCATCTTCTCTGTGGACTTCTTCTTCGTCCCTAAATAGCTCATATATCAGGGTTAACTTCTTTCTTTGGCCTCATTTCATTGGCCAAAGAGTACTTAGTGTTGGACTTCTGTGCTTAAATAAATCAAGATGTCAATCTTCAATCTCCTTCATACTGTTTGTTCTCTTTTAATTAAGGCACTTCATTATTTCACTATGTCTCTGAATGTAATATAGAAAAGCTATTGAAATATTTCAAATAAGTAATGCCTCTTGAAATGTCTTGATCTTTATTTTTAAAATCTATAACCAACATTCAAACAGGGTAGATAGAGTTCCTGGAATGGAATGCATTCCTGTACAAATCTACCCAAAATGTTTAGCACCACAGATTCCCCAGTGTTCAGAAAAGCACTGCTTAGCAGCTACCATGTATGAAATCTTATTGACAATCCCGTTAAATTAAGCACATTGGCATTGAGTAATTTTCAGCTTTCCCCAAGCACACATTTTTTTTCTTCCTTTGTTTGCTTGCAGAAAATGGTCCTTGTTTAGGATATCGAAAGCCAAAGCAACCATACCAATGGCTGTCTTATCAACAGGTTGGTTATACGGCAATGTTTATGAATAACTCAAACTTTTTGCAAATATGAGGAACAATCCATTTTCACTTCGATCTATAGGTCCTGGACAGAGCTGAATATTTGGGATCAGGCCTTTTGTACAGAGGATGTAAACCTTCATCGGATCAATTCATTGGCATCTTTGCTCAGAATAGGCCAGAGGTAACTTGTGGAAATTATAGTTTAGGAATGTAATCAAATCATAATAACCTGATTGTTATTATCTGAACTGATTTAATTACAATATATGAACACAACTGCCTGAGTGAATTCTTGGTATCCTCATTGGTGCCTATTTTTGTATGGTTATTGTTTAGTGTTGGAGAAAATAATCCAAGTAGCAATGGAATTCTGGATACCTATTTGGCTAGAATTAATATGTGCTGTACAAAAATTTTTCTAAGGAGACTTTTTTACATGCTGTTTACCCTAGTGCTGCAGTTATTATTATTTTTTTTTAATCTGCACTCAGTCGTTACCGACTCTGCAGTGACTGCTTTTGGACGAGTCC